AGGTTCTTCACTCAGGGGAGTGGTCACAGGACCAAGCCTGTCAGAGTTTCAATGTTAATGAGAAGTAAATAACTAGTGATGTATGTGTAACTCATTTTCCTGGTGATTCCAGTCTGTAACTCAAGGTAAGCTTTTGGCCATATCCTAGCAATAAGCACAAATATTGTGTTTTATCAGCATGTGAGCTGGCAAAATGGTAATATCCTAGATATTAACATAATTTGGACACATAACCGAAGACTCTTTCCATGTAACAAGAGGACATATGAGTACACTTATACTTAGCACAGTAGAATGTGGATCAAGGAGTATGACACAGCTTATTTACCTTAGGAGTACTCTGCTGCTTCTGTGTGCATGTGTGCAGTATATTTACAAGATATACCTGGCTTCATTTTGTTTGACTTTTTTTTTTGTTTGTTTGCTTTTAACAGCATCTTCTAGACAGCTTTTACAAATATTCAAATAAGTGTCTCAACAGGCTGACACTTCAATATTTAAAATCTTGAGCCCATTCAAAAGCAGCTTGTGGATATTCATAAATTTACTACTGTGACTCAACTGGAACTGACAGCATAGCATACAAAAAGCAGGATATTTACATCTGAATTTTAGTTAAAGAGAATATGAGGAATGTACATGCACATATAAGCAGTTAAAGGTATTTCCTAATTCTGTAAGAAAAAGAGGCTAGTCAGTATGGCAAGATCCTGCAAAAGAACTACATGGATCAATAACCCACAGGGAACCACAGCTCCAAATCACAATTACATGCATACCCCTGTCATGCACATCACAGATTAACAGAATGGCTAGGGTTGGAAGGGACCTCTGGAGATCATTGAATCCAATCCCTCTGATAAAGCAGGCTCACCCAGAGCAGGTTGCACAGGATCATGTCCAGGTTGATCCAGGAAGGAGACTTGACAACCTCTCTGGCCAGCCTGTTCCAAGAAAATCATGCAGCACAGCCTGATATTTAGTCACAGATGTAAACAAGTTGGTTAAAATGGGGGGGGGGGGGGGGGGGGGGTGGGGGTTGAAGGGAAGCGCTAAGTTCCTAATTAGAATTTCATTTTAAAAGGAAAGCTCCAGATTGATTCAGTAACAATAAAACAGAAGCGGGGAGAAGGGGGAGGACTTATATATAAGAAGAGGTCATGTGGTACACTGTATTGAGTTTAAAAGATAAGGAAGACAATGCTTTTTTATCTGGTATAAACAAAAATAATGCCAGCAGTTTGACTGTAAACAAGAACTGAGGAGAAAGCTGAAACGAAAAGGAAATGATTATAGCAAACCTCACAAACCTAGTGCTATGTTTTAACTAAAAAAAAATACATTTTTAAGTGCTGCTTCATAGTTCTTTATGAAGTGCAAATCAGCCATATTCGTAATCAAAATAAGCTTTTGTAAACACCCTATAACACATAAGAAAACATACCTAATGAAGGATTGCCCCAGTTGCCAAACTGTGACAGCTGAATTGTACTTTCCTTTGATAACTCTAAGACCTTCACACCTTTGAGTCACTTGGAGCTTTATTGCAGAAGAAATCACAGTTCCACCTTAGAACAGGTAAATAGCAGATGATATTTCTACCACAAAAAGTAATTAATCATTTTCCCCCTCAGTTTAGAACTCTCTTAGAGACTTAAATCAATAAAGTATCTGATGCATATGTTCTATCTCCTTGTTTCCAATGGTTCCACTGTGCGTATAAATCTACTGTAGAACCACATTTGCATTTAAAGAGAAATTCTCTTGTGTTTACTATGCACCTGCTCCATGTAAGACTGACTTCTTTACCTCCTTTGAGAAACAACAGATCTGCCAGAAAAAGAGGGAGCTCAGACACATCACTACTCCAAGTCCTCTTGCCAATTATCTAAGCACCATTTCCTTCAGTTTAGTTTAGTTATGGTCCTATTCAGAGAAGAGTTGAAAATGATTACTATTTGCCCCTCCAAAATCCAATGTTTTTCAAGTTTTTCTAACATATTTTTCATTTTGACAATGATCATATAGATTTCAACTGTAAAAAATTACTGTATTTGCTAAGCAACACAGAGTAAAGCACTGGCAAAAAGATTATTTACAGATTTGCACATGAAAAAATATAAACTTTATTTTACTTGGCATCACTTTTAATTATGGCTGCATAAGGAAAGGTAAGAATAGTCTCCTCTTGACATCTACCTGAAAAGAGATGCAGGATTACTCCAGGAAAACTGAAATAAAAAAAACAATTGTTCCCTGCCTCCTTAGTCTTAATTTGAGGGTTGCCTCTTGAACTTCATGCACAAAATCAGAGACAGGCAAGGGTACAGATAAAGCTCTGATACAGACCTCATCTAGTCAGCTGAAATGTTTAAACACCAGATGAGGGAGATAACTTGCTGCATCCCACAAAGGCTGCTGAACTACTGCCTTTGTGTTCATGAGGTGCAGCATCACTGCTTCATGACACCAACCTATGTGCAAGGACCATCATCCCTGCACCACTGCTAACAGGACTTTTGTGCTGCCGTCTGTGACAGATGAGCCACCCCACGGGGCTGCCTCTGGCTGTCTGCTCCCGCTTTCTTGCCAGTATGTCCAGCATGTGGAGGCTGTGCTACTTGTGTATCTCCATTTCAGAGGACGGAAGCTACAGTAGCTGCAGTAGGGCTGCCATGCTTTCCCCTTCCTGCTTCTAATCAGACAAGTGCCCAAGGACAGAGCTACTGTGAAGTAGGCACAGGTCTGAGACATCCTGGAAGAGGACTGTGAGAAAGAGAGTTGTGCCAGTGCAGGTGGTATTCCACCTCAGGTGTGTGTGGAATTAACTCTTCTTGCACCTTTGGAGTCCACATGGGAACAGATTTCAGGTGCCAGGAAAAATGGACAATCGGGAATCAGAGGGACACTTCATAGTTTTTCAAGCTTTGTTGATGCCCAATCATGAAACAGTTACAAAATATCTGATATTTGGGATCATGATTTTGCAATTATGAAAAAGATTACTTATCACTTATTCACAGTACTCTGTGAAGGGACTGAATCTTCAAGGGTACCTTCAGACACCTTGTCTAAGCAGTCTAATTTTACATGCACCTCTTTGTAAACTTGGAAGCTGGCCTCAAAGAACTCATGACATACTTACTTTCCATGTTGCTGTCATTAGAGAAAAAGATATTAAGACAAGCAGCTTCTAGCTATTATAAGCTACTATCTTCTATGGAATTTCCTTATCTGAAAGACTGTCCAGCTCCTTATTCCAAAATGACACTTAAAAGCATTTTGAATAGACTGCACTGGACTGCTTGTTCAAAAAAGATGGAGATTTTTTTTAACCAGTCTCCTTGAATTTGCAGGTAACCCTACATCAGGCTAATACTCTGATGTAGTTTTATTTTACTCACACAGATCAGTCTTATACCACATACCCTTACAAAGGAAGCTTTTTCATTACAGGCCTTTTCGTGATGAGGCAAGGGTCTATTTGACTACTGAACAGGTCAAATCCTAATTGTTTCATTCATATGAAAAGTGCTTCTCACTGTTTTTGAACTACCTCTTGAGCAATCCCCCAAGCCTGCTCTTGTAACCAGCTTACCTGCTAAATCTTCAAAATATGGCTCCAGTATTCCACAAGGCATATTTTCAGGCTCAGCAGTATGAAGACTGAAGTGGTTTACCAAGTTCACCAACCATGAGCTCACGCATGAGCTAGTTGCAAAGGATTTTAGGGTGAAGAAACTCATGTTTATGTGTGGTAGTAAGGCAACAGGTCATGCTTTTTATGGCTTGCTGGAAGCACATGTAGTGCACATAACTCCTAAATTCAGTACGGGCAGGACACCATTAAAAGTCTGCTACAGCATGCTACACAAGGCTAAATGCATGCACATCTTTCAATATAATTTCTGACTGCAGGATCAGTGCTATTTGCATGAAATATAAAATTATTTTGATTTCCCAATGATATGATTGTATATCTTTCTTCAGCCATTTAAATATCAGAAAAAGATGCAAAAAGTCAAAGTGAGTTGCTTCAGAATTATTTTTTTAAACATTTTTTCAGCTCCCTTTTGCTGTTGGAATGCTGAGGTATAAAACGAGGCTAAGATGCTAAGATTTTCCATGGAAAACACAGGCAATAGAAGTTTTTTGGTGGGTTTTGGGGTGAGGGGACTTTTTGAGGACCAGTTGTGACTGATTAGTATCGCTATAAGAGATGTGGCTTTAAGCCAACCATTGAAAGTGCTCTGAGGTGATTAACACTGACAATGAAGACTGAGACGCTTTAGGCGCTGGTTTGCATCCAGTACCATCGGAACCTGATCCTCGAGCTCTTCTTTATATAAATTACATCTGCTCACATTAAGCGCTCATTTATGCAGGTATGAAAAAGGTTTGATCCCCTCTGCTGCAGAAACACGATTTTGGGCCGACCCAAGTATAAGCCTTGGAGCATGTTTCTATCAGACAACTTGGCATTTGTTTCCCCACAGTTACAAACATGCAACTCCTACTTGATTTTCTCCCAGATTTCGGCTTGCCCGGCGGGACAGGAGAGCGCTACCGGCTGGGTGCCCGCCCGGACGCCCGGCTCCGAGCAGAGCAGCGGCACATCTGCGGCGGGGGCGAGCGTCAGCGGCTTACCCTGCGCTACCGAGGCTTCGCGGCGGCACTTCGCGCGGCTGACATCACGTATGTGCTCAGCCTCACAGAAACCCCCCGAGTTTAGCCCTGATTTCATGCGGAAAGCACTTCCCCGGAGCGGGCTGGCGGGGGCAGGGCGGGGGCTCGCCCCTCGCCGCCGCTCGCTCCCGCCCGCCGCCCGGCAGCCCCGCTCGGCGCGCCGGGGACGCCTCAGCAGGGGAAGCGCCTCCAGAGCCACCCGCAACCCCCGCGGGGCACCCTGGGCTCGGCTCCGCGCCCCCTCTCCCGCCGCCCCGGGGTCAGCGCTGTCGGCGGCAACAAAGCCCCCGTCCGCTCCGCTCCCCTCTGCTCACCTCACCCCCGCGCTCCGCTCGGCCGCGGCCATTCCACGGCAGCCGGGGTGATGGAGACGGGGGAAGGACCTAGGTGCCGCCTCTCGGCTGCCGCCCCCCGCCACTCCCCGCCGGCGCAGGCAGCACTCCGGCAGCGCCGAGCTCCCGGTGCCCCGCCCTCCGCCCCTGCCCTGTCAGCACGCAGCGGCCGGCAGGAGCGGGAGGAGAGGAAGACGGAGAGGGAAGGAGGGAGCCGGGGTCGGTGCGGCTCCGCCCGGCCCCGTGCGTCACAATGCGGGGGGTGCTGCCACGTGACGCGCGGGGCGGGGCGCGGCGGCTGCGCGGGGGCCGCGCGGGGCGGGCGGGGGCCGCGCGGGGCGGGCGGGGGCCGCGCGGGGCGGGCGGGGGCCGCGCGGGGCGGGCGGGGGCCGCGCGGGGCGGGCGGGGGCTGCGGCGCTGTCCCCGGAGCGGCGGCCTCGCTAGCGCCGTGCTGCCGCAGCCGCCCCGCGCGTCCTGCGCGCTTCGGGAGGGATTGCCCACGGCGTCTGAAAACGCTGCTCCGGCATGTCCAGTGCGAAACGCGTGGCACGCCGCTACGCTAAAAATAATGGAAATGCAGAGCTCAGTGCCTGAAATGCCGAGTTCAATCCACTCACATCTGTTTAAAATAAAATTCCGTCAGTTTGGGAGTAGATTTTTTTTTTTTTTTTGTAAAACCGGGAAAGCCTCGCTGCTTCGCTCTAGTTTACAGGTTCACGAGGACAGAGGTGGTGGCATCCTTGTACACCTCCCATCGACCTGGTCCCACTTGCCTTGACAAGAAACCAGCATTTTCTCAGACAGTGCTGCTAAAGGTGCTTCTGCACCCCGCCGCTGCAGGTGCTCGATGAGCGGGCAGAAACCCGCTGGCTGTCCTTCAGGCGCTGCAGGGATGCGCGAAGAAAGGATCCTCTAAACATCTTAGCCCGAGTAACGCCTTGCCACCCAGGCGTCTGATGGCAGCACGAAGAGAGCAGAAAAGTGAACCCTTTGGCTGGGTTTTCCTCTTTGTGATTTAGCCTGTTTTGTTTCTCCCTTTTCATAGGCACATTTTCCATCCTGTCTCTTAAGGTGTATCTCTTTATGTACTTTTGTGTGCTTTTACCTTTCAAACAGAGAACATCTTGAATTTTCATTTACTCGGATGAGTGAGGAGTGCAAAAGCCTGAGAGATGCGTACAGGAAATTTAAGTGAATTTATGCTAGTTTGGCATTATGGAAAACTACTGCCCACAGAGTACGCTCAGCACTACTGCAAGCATGCCCACATCAGTCAGCACTTAGCACTGCTCTGGACAAGTGTCTCTGGAAATGGCAAAAATACTTTAATCTCCAGCTAAATAGCTCTCTGTTCTTCCTGTAGGGATTTCTAGTGAAAGTGCCTAAACTCCCCTACTTCCCCCATTTTAATTCTGCTTAGCTGAGTCAGTCACACAGACACAGTCATCAGACAGTAACAACCTTGAGAAGCTTGTCATCTGAACCCAGCAACTTGGACATGAAAGGAAATGTAGTCTCCCATGATACATTACTTGGGCTATCTAGGAGCTGCAGCATCATGCATTTTCAGCTTATTTAGTATACTTGCCCAGAATTGGAAAGCTGCTATATGTCTTTCTTTTTAAATTAATCTTTTAAGATTTGTAGAAAACAAACGTGAATATGAATTTCAGTGATGGACTCTAATGTTTATGTGCAAAGCTAACTATATGGTGCAATAGTATCTTAAACACCTGTGCATACTGAATGTGAAGAAAGGAGTGCTTTGGACAGGTATTCTGCTTTTATGTCATTCTCTTTTAGGAAACTGATATTTATGTACTGCACATTTCACACTTGAATGTATATGGAGATTAGTAACCGTTTGAGGTATTTGTAATGCACTTGATTAGGTGGTTTTAGCCAGGAATGTTGGTCAGCTGTGTGTGATTAAATGGTTTGAAAAGAATGCAGGTCAGGTCCAGAATACAATGTCATATAGGAGTATGACCTGCCTGACAAACAGTGTTGATGAAAAAACAAAACCAAAAAAATCTTATTTTAATGTAGAGTCTATAAATACCATTGGTATGCAAATACAATTTGTAAGATAAAAGCTTGGTAAGCATCTTTGTGCATATTATATATTAGTATCTGTATTAGCACTGATAACCCTGTTTGTGTGTGTACTTCTGAAATCATTGCTGAAAATATTGTTTAAATAAGAAATGCTGATTAGGCTATATGACTGTAAAAAACCCTTAAATTATGATATATAACTTCAGTTCTTATAAGAACTTCAGGATGGATTTTACTGCCAGTTATATGGCCCCATCATTTTTTGTATGAAATAAAATCACAGAATGTTACCTCTCCTCTTGCTGTGTGTGCAGATACAAGCATTTGCTGAAATAGAAAAAAGCTTGTCATTGATATTCCAAATGGAGTAAAGTGATTAAAAAATATGTTGCCTGTTGTTTTTCTAGTATGCCTCTGCAGGATCATTTAGTGGTTTGTTGAACCTTGGTATTCCTATGTGGTGAAGCCAAGGCCAGTATTTGCGTCAACTGCAGAGTATGGCTGGATGCATATGAGAACATGAGAACAGGCTGATTTGTGGCCCACATCAAGGGTCCATGGCAGCCAGCAGCAATCACAGCATCTGTCAGTGATCACATACATTGACTTTAATGAACACAAGACAAAACCCTCCATTGCTTTTGAAATTCTTCTGCTAGAGGAGTTTGAGATTTGAAAGTGCTTGGTAACACTGCTCATGAAGACATGACCACATTGTACTTAAGGCACAAAGCCCATGGAGACATTTCCTGCAGGAGATTTTTCTGTTCTATTTATTCTATGCAGGACCAATGGCTGTGTTTCTATATTTGTTCCTGAATATGTGCAGCAGTCTTGTGAAGCAAAAGGTAGACAGGAACAGAAAGGAGGCAGCAGAAGCCTGGAAGAGATGAACCCAAGCGACATAGAGTATGTTGCCATTTTTTCCCAGAACATTAAGGCTGGGAATCAGAGTTGTACAGGTAAGTCTAACAGTTGGTAACCTTAGGGATTTTATGTAATTAATACACACAGGCAGCCTGTGAACTTCCAGATGGTGACCTAGGACTGCTGATGTATAATATCTCTACCAAGGAACATCACCAACAGTATCATATTAGCAAAACCCAGTAATCACAATGTAAGAATATCTCCCGAAATAACAAAAGACAAGCTTTAGTTCAGTCAAATGATGAACCATGATGATTCACAGTCATTCAAGGCAGTCATCAGGGCACTTCAATGTTCTCTTTAAAAAAAAAAAAATTAGAAAGATTAAAAACAGATTTAGCTTTGAGAATCAGTAAGAGCAACTACCATTTTTGAAGCATGACAGAATTTACTCATTTCAAAAGAGTGAGTCCAAACCAGGTGACTTGTTTCTGGCTTCACCTTTCAGATTCTGAGTGGATATAAATAGATCAAGTCAACTTTGCATCTAACATTCAAATTACCACCTTTGGTCTGCCCTGCAATAAATATATAAAATATTTTGCTCAAATTGGAAGAAAACATTTTAATTCTTATAAGTGCATAAGAATAGAGCAAATAATGGTATAGGCAGAATTTTCTTAGGTTGAGAAAATGATGACAATATTTCACAGGGTACTAGAAGTAATTACTTACTGTTTCACCTTGGTTATGCCAAATACATACACACATATGCTGATGAGTAAGTCGACCATCTGAAATTCATGGAACTGCTACATCTGAAGGAAAATTGAGATTACATAGCTAGGACTGCAATAAAACAAGTTTTTCTGCTGTGTTTTTGCATTGTTTTCAGTGCTTGTAATGCCTGAACCTGATCTGGTAGTCCACAGTGGGCCAATCTCACATCAGCAGAATTCAGAAAGCAAGTGTTTGCCTTGAAAAGAGTGCAGATCAGTTCCTTACCCATAAGAAGAGAAAGGTTTACAAGACCAGAAATAATTTGTTCAAAACCAGCTTTCAGTGCATATAGCTTTTTCTGCAATCTTAAGAGGCCATTTAGTTGGCAGCATCTTGGGTGGAGAGGAGACTCAAGCCTGGGCTTTATTAAATGCTTATTTATTTGATCTATTCTGCTGGATAAATCACACATAGAATTTTACAATGTGACATCCGAGGTCCTGCTCACTCATTTGGTGCAGCTGTGCAGAAGAACTGAACATAGTATGTATGGTTGGAAAGCTAGTACCTGGCATTACTGCATCAAAAAGTCAGGGACAATTACCATAATCAGGTACTCTGATTTCTGGCATAAAGCCCCACAGTTCCTAGTTGAACTAGAGAATGTTTTTCAGAAAGTGATCTAATCTTGATTACTACACTCCTAACAATGTTGTTGTAATAGATCATTAGCTTCACTGTTAAATTATGTATCCTTTGTCCATCTTCTCATTCAGCTTGTTTGACTTTTGGGATTCTGACTTTGCCCAATGTAAATACTGGGCAATATCCATTCTCATAGGTTTTCTTACCATCTATGCATTCACAGTATGTTTTCAAGACACCTTCAGAAATTTTTTTGATAGGTTATAAAGGATTTCTTAAATCTTCCCTCATATTTTGACAGTAATGCAAGTCCACAACTTTGAATTTGTGAGTATTTGACATCACAGATTTTCATTCTGCGAATTAATTTTGGCAAATTGGAAAGCTTCTAAGTCTGATACTCACAACAAATTACAGACCATTATAAGTCTTCCTCTTTTTTTTTTCCCTGTCCATTATTCCTCTGCTTATGTACCAAGACCACCTTTGAATGTGGCCACATTAGCAAGTTGCCACAAGGCAAGACAATTTGAAGCAATGGATTACATATCTGATTCATAACTACCCTGGTGTAACTCCTTCTCCCTCCCATGCTGAAGCCAGATCACTTGCTAGGGGAATGCTCCTGTTTAAGGGGTGGGTGACTTTGCACTCTTTAGAGGATGAGAGCATGCACAGAAGCAGATCCCACAGAACAGCTGAACCCAACCGGATTTTGAATTATCTTAAAGCATTAGAGCTTCGTGGGATTACTTGGCTACTGTTTTATACTGGGAATATGTGGGGTTGGCTGTCCAGTTTTCTTCCATGCTGTATATATGACACACATTCTCTGATGTG